GCACTGGGTCTCTAGTTGTCAATATTTATCTTACTTGGTTATTCTTCACTATGTGACCGTGGATGACACCTACTTATGTAAACTACTTTCTTCCTTTGGCTTCTGTGATCACATTCCATTCATTTTCTTCCACCTTTTTTTGGTTGTTACTTCTCAGCTTCTTCCTTAGGTTTTCTCTTCCTCTGTCTATCCCTTCTAGAGATCAGTCCTTGGCCGTCCTATTTTCTCTATCTACATAAAGTCCCTGGTCATCTTATCAATTCCTATGGCTTCTATTACCTGTTAGGGTCCAGCCCCAGCAGGTCCAGGGGTTCCCAAAGGTGTGGACGGAGTCGGTGAAGAAGGAATGACACGGAGACAGCGTTCAGATGATCAGCATAGCCAGGTTCTCTAGCCAGGTTCTCTTTTTATTCTCCTGTTACATCTGTATTTATATCAGTTTATTTTAATCCTATCCATTCTATTCCAAAGGTTAGGGCGTTTGTTATCTCCATTCCAAACCTGGACCTGCTGGGGCTGGGACCCCAACAATTACCCACATTTCTTAACTTCTCCAAAACCTTTATCTCTAGTCTACACCACTCTGCTAAGCTCCCAATCCATATATCAGCTACTACTCCCTTCACATCCTTCCAAGACCAAAATCTGTTCCTACCCATATTTCCTTAGTCAACTAAAACAAGTCAGAAACTTCAATGTCATCTTTCCCATCTCCCTAACCCAACCCATTGCACACATTAAATTATGTACCAAACAACATCATTCTACATTCTTAATACCTCAAAGTTGTCCTCTTCACTCCTTTGGTCCACTTTGGTTAAAGCCTCCCAATTTGTCTCAGTTTAATTACTGAAACAATTTCCTACAATGGCCTCCCTGCTTCTGACTTTGATCCATTTAAACCAACCAGTTTCTAAGCTTTGGAACTACTGACATTTGGGGCTGGATATTTGTTCATTGTAGGAGGCTGTCTTGTGCACTGTATAATGTTTAGCATCCCTGGCCTTTACTGAGTAGATGTCAGTAGGATATCCCCATCCCACTGCAGGATAATAAGGATGTGTCCAGTCATTGCCAATACCCACTGGTGGGCAAAATCACTCCTAACTGCTTTAAACCTCACTCCACAATATAGACTGATGAATTATTTTTCTAAAATGCAAATAAGACCCATCTCTTTCTTGCTTAAAATCCTACAGTAGCTTTCCATTGTCCCAGGAAAATAATCCAAATCCTTTTGTTTGGTTTGTAAGGCCCGCATGGCCTGGCCCCTGCTAACTCTCTACCTTAACAGTGTGTCAGTCCAACTCAAGTAAGGCTACCAAAGAAAATCACACAACCACCCAGTGGCTCTACTACAAACACCTGCATGTTCTACCTCTGGAGTACCTTTCTAGGCCCTTCTTCAACATTCATCCTATTTTTTATTCTATCTGAAATTCTCTCAATGTTCTACGTTCCCTCTCATAATCAACTTTGGCCCATGCTGCTCCCAAAGTCTGGGATGCCCTTCCCTTCTCCCACCTATGTCTAGCTTAAATGATCCCTGCTTTAGGAAGTGCTTCTTGATACTCCCCACTCCACAATACATATCCTATCTACGCAAGGGTGCGTAGATACCCTCACCTTGTGCTCCAAGATACACTGTGCTCCCGCCTACATTTTGTGGTTCAATAGCCTGGCCCCTTGTCTAAGCTACAGTCCTATACCCTGTTATATCCCAAGTGTCCAGAATAAAGCCTGTCACAAAGTAGGAGTTAAAACATATTTTTAGAAAAAGGGAGGAAGTAAGAAAGGCCTGGACAACATGCAAACTGATGCATGATGCACTCAAGTGGTGAGTCATAGGTTACATGACAATGAGATCGACTCGGTTACGTTAGTTCTTCAGGGAGATGACAACATGACAGGCTGTCTTCATAATGAGACTTAGTATTTTCTACTGTCACAGTAGGTGGCAAGTTCATTTGCCATCACAGATTTCTAGACACTGACATTACATAAAATCATAAAGGGCATTGACAGTAAACTGATTTCATAAAATCTTCATATAAAATGTCGGGGAATCACTGTACATTTTATCACTAGGATTTAACTGAAGACTCAAATTAGGAGGGAGACTAATATGAACTCCACTTCCGAGGCCAGATTAAACATAATGAAGTAAGATTTCATCAGACCATCTGAGAAAAAACTTTATTTACTGAGAGAATAAAATAAAAGGGAGAGAGACTTCCATCTTCCTCTAAAAAAAAAAATTACCCAAACAAGAACTGAATAAAACCTTCTAAACTCAGTATTGTCAGAAATAAAAGTTGGCTTGGTCCAAAGACTCAAAACTATAAAGAATAAAGCTGAAAACTCCTTATTTTATCATATAAACTTATATGAGCATCAGAGCATGAAAGAATTCCATGTATCATTAACAAATAAAAGTCAGCCTGCTTTTAATGAGACTGCAGCTTTCATTGATAGATAATATGTGGTATATCTTGATAAATGTTAAATCAGTATGATGGCTACCTAGAGGTTTGTTATATTAAACTCTATTATTTGAAAATTTTCTGAATAAGTACTAAAGGTCTGCTTATATTAAGAAATATTAGAAACAAAAAAAGAAAAAAAAAGAAAATAATAAAATAAAAATTAATAAAATAAAAATAATAAAAAAATATATTAGAAACTAAATCTCATACACATCCTATATAATAAAAGCATAATATGCAAATCGACCAAATGGCAGAACGACTGGGGGGGCGGGGCCAGCGAGCAGGCTGTGCCAGGCCAGCCAAGGCTAGTGACAGTGGGCAGAGGGAGGGGATGGCGATTTGGGGGTGGCAGCAACCAGCAGCTGTGGAGGTGTAATGTGGGGGGGTGGGCAGAGCCAGTTGCTCGCCGGCTGGCACCATCACCTGATGGGCCTGCCTGGTTGCCTCCTGCAGAGGAGCAGGCCTAAGCCATCAGTCGGACATCTCCTGAGGACTCCCGGACTGCGAGAGACGCAGGCCGGGCTGAAGGACACTCCCCCACCTCGAGTGCATGAATTTTCATGCATCGGGCCTCTAGTATTTAATAAATATTTCAGAAAATCACATATTTTAGGTACTTCTTGTTATGAAAAACACTTACATTCCTCAGCACAATTTGTGATATAATTACATACAATAAACTGCACATATTTACAATTAACAACCATCAATCTGTTGTAAAAATAATGAACATATCTATCACCTTCCCCAGTTTCCTTATTCCTATGTGTAATCTCTCCATCCTGCCTCTCTCAATTGGCTCTCCATCCTCACTAATACTGATGTATTTTCTGTTACTATACATTTGTAAAAAAAAAAGAAATAAACAAAAACAAACAAACAGCACAACAAACAGATTAATTTGGACAATACCCTTCCGGTTTTGTAGTGGGCTTTACTTTTAGGTTAAGTGCACACAGAGCAATTCTATGGGTCATTTCCAACCTAAGTTGAGTAATAAATTGAGATTTTTAAATCTACAACATAAACTTTGGGCTAAACAGAAAATTTCCAGGTATGTTTTGCAATGGTCCTTCAAACTAAATAAGCAAATGACTATAGGCAAGATAGTGTAATTGTTTAAAAAGAAACTCAACAATGATTCAGAGAGTTATAATCTATACTAATAATAGGGTAATATGCAAATTGGTCAGGACACCGTCACAGTAACAACCAATCAGCAGGGTGCGTGAGCAGCAGGCATGGGTGGACGGGGACTTGCAGTGTTGGGGACGGGGGTGGGGCCGCGGCAGAGAGGCCTCTCCGCATGCCTGCGCCGGGGATCCACAGGTGCGTGGAGAGGGCCCTCTGCCGCGGGCCCGGCTGGAGGTCCACAGGCCTTCTCCAACTCTGGCCTACCACTTTGGGGCAATCCATCGAGGAGCCCCAGTTGGGTGGGCAGGGCTTACCTCTTTGGGGCGATGGATCGCAGGGCTCCCTCACTGTGACAGGGCACAGGCCAGGCTAGAGGACCCCCGTTCCCCACCCAAGTGCACAAATTTCGTGCACCGGGCCACTAGTTCAATATAAAAGTCTGAGCGAACAAAGTCATATCAACAAAACTAAATAGCTCCCCTATTCCTCTGCAATGCTGACTAAACCAATATGCGAAGCTCAGAACCTTGAAAGGGGCAAGTTTCTAGGAGCGTGCTGAGGAGATTAACCTCTACCACTGCATTACAATGTGGTAAGCCAAGGGTGGGGAACCTTTTTTCTACCAAGGGCCATTTGGGTATTTATAACATTATTCAGGGGCCATACAAAATTATCAACTTAAAAATTAGCCTGCAGTATTTGGTCAAACATTTAATGAACTTACCCCTTATGCCTTGGCAGGGCCAAAACAAATGATTTCTCGGGCCTTATGCGGCCGGCGGGACGTTCCCGAGCCCTGTAAACAATGCCTTGCATTTACTTACAGAGCATCTCTCTTACTCCCTGAGAAGGCTGAAGAAGAGAGCTGAGAGACCAGGTCAAAACAAAGCAAGAGGAAAACACAGCAGCAGTGAAAATTAATACAATTAAATGTTTGTGCTTCACTATCATCTCTAAGACTACAAAAGTCTCAGAGGCCAAGGAGAGGGTTCAGATTAGAAACTATCTCACCTGCAAAAGAACTCCCACAAGTCTAGGTTCTGAATTCTCTGAATTCTTTTAATTCTGTTGCGATCCATTGTTTTCCCAAAGAGACTAGCGACTTCATTATATTCATGTGTTTGATTGTGCAAAGGAATAAGCTGGAAAATAAAGTTTAATAGTTTTATTGAAGCCCTGTTCCACCTCTAGCACAGGATAGTCAGTCAGTTCTGCTCTTACCTGATAGGGTACGTCAGTATTCACATTCTCCCAATGTGGTGGCATGGGGATAGCCTCATTTTCACAGATATAACTTTAAATAGCAAAAGACAAAACAAAATATTAGAATCTGATTATAATTACTGTGATTTAGACTTCAATGCTGAATTTTCATGTTTGGGATACTGTGATAAATGCAATTAAGTGTAATCCTTGCTTTCTTTATTTTAAAATATTTATTGAATATCTTCTTGTGTATTACCTTTTTAAGTGCTGAATTGAGAACTTCAATGGAAAACATCCAACCCTACATAACATTAAAATTTCAAGAAGAGTTGTTTCATTTTGTCTTGTTTTTCTGAATTTTACAGAATTTCTTTAAAATGTAAGGAAGATTTTAGCTAAAGAAAAGAAATTGCCGAGAAGAAAATAAAACCCTTGATTTAGAAAGAGCTCCTTAAGCCCTAACCAATTTGGCTCAGTGGATAGAGCATTGGCCTGCAGACTGAAAGTCCCCGGTTCAATTCCCGTCAAGGGGATGTACCTTGGTTGCAGGCACATCCCCAGTAGGGAGTGTGTAGGAGGCAGCTGATCAATGTTTCTCTCTCATCGATGTTTCTAACTCTCTTTCCCTCTCCCCTCCTCTCTGTAAAAAATCAATAAAATATATTTAAAATAAAAAAATAAAACTACTTAAGATATTTATTCTGCCTATGAAATAAAATCCCAACCCCTCAGCCATACATTCAATGTCCTTCAAGATCTAACTCAAATCTAAACTTTTCTGTTTATTGCTCACTATTCTCGTACACAGTTCATATTACCCATTAATATAGTCAGCCAGTACAACTTTTTAAAAACTATCTACTGTGTTTAAGCCACTGGATGTGAACACAGAAAAAGAGAGCAATCTTGGGGAGTTCAATGGCAACAGGCTGACACTGACATATTAACCCTCTGTGGTGACTCGAGGTCACTGGAAGAAATAAATTTCAAGCCTATCTTCAGTTTAATTTTTAAAAACTCATTTCAACTTTGAAAAGATCATAAAATGACATGATTTAAAAATTAGCAAGTATAAAAAGAGTAAATAGTGAATAGTGAATAGTTTCCCTCCCACTCCAGTCCTTAGACTGTCCAATTCTCACCTCTTGCCTCAACTCCAAGTAATATTGTTTTCAGTCTTTTGGGTATTATTCTAGAACTTCTTTAGGTTAACACAAGCCAATCTGTCCCCACACACAAATGGTAGCTTAAAACATGTGTCTTCTGCAGCTTTTATTTTTCATTTACTACGTTCTTAGATATCTTTCTGCATCAGTAGATAGAGAGTACCCTTGTTCCCAGTCCCTACCATAGGGTCTGGCACATGCAAAGATGCACAGAATTCCATGGTATGGAGACACCACAATCTATTTAACAAGTCTCCTATTGAAGATCTTCAGTTCTTTCAACTTTTTGCTACTGTTAAGAATGTTGCAAAGAACTAGTTCATCCATTTGTCACTGTACGTGTCCACTAGTCAATTTTTAGGATGATATCTTTGAAATGGAATTTCTCAATCAAAGAATATATTTATTCATGATTTTGACAGATACTGACCAAAGCCTTCCTTGAAGGTTGTACTCATTGACATTCCCACCAGAAAAATAAAGAATGTCTGTTTTCCAACCTCATAAAAAAGATGTGTTATCAAACTTTTGAATTTTTGTCAACCCGATAGTAAAAAAATAGTCTGATGTAATTTGTATTTCTTTCATTATGAGTGAAGTTGTATGAACTGTTCAAATTCTTTGCTCATTTTTTAACAGGTTGTTGGTCTTCTACTTAGAGATTCATAGAAATATTTCATATACTACAGAGATAAATCCGTAGGCTCTGATAATGAGTAACAATAGTTTACCCAGTTTTTAAAAAGATTTTGCCGTATCTTTTAGCTATGGAAAAGTTTTGTGTGTGTGTGTGTGTGTGTGCGCGTTTTTTTTTTTTATGTTTATAGCCCATAGCCTTAGTTAACTGCTAATCTTTGCCAATGGAAAATATATACTATTCACCTTGCATGTAATATTTCCTGTAATAAATAAACATTTCTATATCAGCACATACTCACCTCACCTTCATCACTCTTCTGTATCCCACCTAACTGTTCATCTTTTAATATCTTATTACCCTCCATTCTGGTGCATTGTCTCCCTCTCCTGTCTCTTTTCTATGGTGTGTATAGTCAGTGAGAGAACAAAGTGCTGGACCCCATCATGTGCTGCTTCTCCTCACCAAAACATACCAGATACAATAATGTGCAATTACAATTTACAATATCATTTCCCATTATTAAGTTTCATTTTCTCCCAGATTACATAATCTTTAAAGATAATTAATTCCTATACTTAAGAATGAGGATATGATATAGTTGATAAGAAAATAGTTTTCTCTACATTCCACAGAAGTACTAGAACATTCATTAATTAAATAACTTTTAAATCATGATGCTAAAATGTAAGCCAAAATCTTGTGAAACAAAGTGATAGAAACTTAAAATTTTTCATTCTTTACTCTAATCCTTTCACAATATCTCCTCAGAAGGAGCAAATGGGTAGCCCTTAAAATTCATATGCTAGCTCTTTTTTCTTCTGTTTCATTATAAATTCTTTGAACAGCAAGAATTTCAATACTTGCTGGAGAAATCGTTCCAGAAAATAGGAGACACAGAGTAAGATTTTTCCCTTCGATTCCATTCACAGCAATACAAAATATTTATTCTCCTCTGGTATTTATGCCTCTTTTCAGGCTATATAATCCAGAGACAGAAAAAGACAACTCGCAGTGGGAACAAGTAGCAGTGCTGCTGTCCCACTGCACTCCCACCTTCCTCAGGTCTCCTTTAGTCACTACAGCTCTGAAATTACTTCCAGGAGTTGCCCAGTGGAGAAGAGTGGTAATTACTTGGGATTTATAGCCCAAGTAACTGGATGGTTCTGTGAGGAAAGGAAACATGGGCATAAAAAAATAATATTGCTATTTCATCAAGTAAGGTGCCATTCAGTACTGAAAGGATCAATATTAAGATCATTAAGTAACCTGCCAAAACATTTTCAGTCTATTTGTTCCTCTATCAAATATTAAGAAAGAGAAGAGAGAGGAAAAGCCCAATCTTTCTAACCCTATTCTCGTTACCGTACCTGAAAGCACTGATAGAAAAGGGGGCTCTTTTTATTAAGCGCTGCTTTCCAGTAGTGAGATTCACTTGCTTCATTTCTGTATACAAAGACAAAGATGTTAGATAAGTCACAGAAACATACTGTGCTATAAATTGTCACGAAGATGTATAGCCACCCTACACGAATCACAGAATTTTGGGAGTCACTGACAAACATAGTGCATTAAGATACTTTTTTTTCTTTCTTTCTATCTACCTACCTACCTACCTACCTATGTATCATGTCATAAAAGTGCTATTCAGGGAGGATGGCTTCATTGCTTGATCTATTCTCAGACAGAAGAATGCTAATACCATATGCGGCTCAGTAGGCAGGGTCTATCCTTTTCTATACAATCCTTAGGTTAAAGTGACATTAAACTAGAAGAGTTCTAAACTTAGGAAAATTAAGAGTACTAGAGAGAGAAAGAAATTATAATACTGAATATTCTAGATGCTTATTAAGTGGAAACTACATGATTTCTCCAAAGTATTTGGAAATGATTTTAAAAAATCCATTACCATTATAAAACATGTACAATTCACAGAATTTCAAAACTGTATACATTGCTTGCCTTCTCTTTAAATTGTATACCTAAACCAAAACATAGAAAACCTAGCTAGACTCCATACATCCTATATAATAAAAGTCTAATATCTAAATCAATTGAACTGTGGAATGACTGGTCGCTATGATGCACACTGACCACCAGGGGGCAGACGCTTAATGCAGGAGCTGCCCCCTGGCCAGGCTCGAGGGGATCAGGCCTAAGCTGTCAATCAGACGTCCTCGGAAGGTTCCCAGACTGCGAGAGAGCGCAGGCCGGGCTGAAGAACACCCTCCCCCACCCCCAGTGCACAAATTTCGTGAACTGGGCCTCTAGTAGTTACATAACAGATTCTAGTGACAAAGGACTAATTAATTAAAGGTATTGTTTTCTTCTTTCATCTATGCCTCAGCAGTGGCAGTACTTACCAAGCCCATTTCACATTCCCACAAAGATGTGAATGTGAGATTCTAGTCAGTTATCTTATCTAATTGGCATTATTCCATTCCAAAACAAAGGGATTCACCCATCAAGCAAATGCTGTATAAAGTATGTTCTGCCCTGTCTGTATTCTCCTAGACTCTGTACACACTGGCGTTACCATGGTGCAGGGAAAAGCAAGATCTCAGCTCACATAGTGAAAACTGTAGTGACTTCCTTTGAGTTCACTTTTTACCATTTCTACAGAGAGAACCTGAATTGGCTTGTGGCAGAACAGGGACTAATTTTGTAAATGGTATATATGAAGTGCTAACAGGTATACTTCTGAAACAGTGTCATTATATTGAGGGTTGGGGAACTTGACCCCAACATAACATGTGACTCCTAGATGATTAAAAAAAGTTTTAATAAACTGTATTGTCTGAGAGAAAGTTTCGCAAAAATACGTTTTCTAGAAAATATTCTTCCAGAAACATGTAGCTTGCTGAATCATCTGCTTCAACAAACTTCATCTCCTATATGAGTCTGTGCATATCGTTATGTCTCAATATGGCTTCAGAACTGGCCCCGGTACACAGACTAAAATGCCTACCAGACACCTGTTGTCTAGACTGCAGGAGAAAGATAAATGTCAGGGCCCTTTAAAGGCAGATGGCCTATTTATCCAATGTTAAGTTGCCCTAGCTGGTTTGGTTCAGTGGATAGAGCATCAGCCTGCAGACTGAAGGGTCCTGGGTTTGATTCCAGTTCAGGACACATGCTCGGGTCGTGGGCTTGATTCCCAATAAGAGGCATGCAGGAGGTAGCTGATCCCTGGTTCTCTCTCATCATTGATGTTTCTATCTCTCTCTCCCTTTCATCTCCCTTCCTCTCTGAAATCAATAAAAATACTTGTATGCATGCATATAAGCATAAGCAATGGACACAGACAACAGGGGGTGAGGGTGAGGGCAAGACCAGGGGGATGAGGGGACAATGGGGGGATAAAGACACATTGTAATACCTTAATCAATAAAAAGTTAAAAGAAAATAAATGTGGGAAAAAAAGTTATGGTGAGTCAAGGGTAAGAATCTAATGGTTTTAACTCTTGATAAAAAAGCTTTGGGGGATGATAATCATTAGAGATTTGGTTGCATCAACCTCTTACTGGACAATCCCCTTTACCGTTTCTGGGCCTTGGCTCATCCAAGGAAATCTCCTAAGGTTTCACTACCCTATCCTACAGAAACACACTACTAATTGTCATAAAGACACTGGGAAGAACAGTTAGAGGATTGAGCTGTGAAATAACCAAAATGCACTTTTATTAAGGAAGCTTCCCCAACCAGGTCCTGTTTGCCTCTAAGCAGCAAAGAGCTGGGACTATAGCAGTCTGAAAGTGAAGGGACTGAACCCAACAGGTTTTTCAGGGGAAGTACCTCAAATCATGCCCATAAATCAGGAATGAAATCCCAAGTGCAGCTGATTTCCAGATTACTGGCTATTCTGTGAAAGAGCCCATGAAATCAAAAAGGGCAGAAGGCAATGTCCACTAAAGAAATAATTTTCTGGCAAAGACACCCAGAGGTGGGTCATTCATCTGAACTTCAGTCTAAAAACTATCACAGACTTTGTCACTTCACCTCTCAGAGTGGTCCTTAAAATAAAAGGTTCCTATCTATCTCAAAAGACTGATAGGATCATGAGGAAAACAATAGCTTAGAGTGTTTGTGTTCCTTAGAAGAGAAGCATTACATTAGTCTCAGCATATAAACACTCCTTTATAAAAAGACAGTGTTGCTCAAGATTTTAAATCCTGAACTTTTATAGAGGTACTTGTATTTATTACAAAAAGGATTTACTTCACTGTTCACAAATGTATCAACTAATCCTTGATACATCTTCCGAACTGTAGATTTTACCATATCCGTATACTAAAACCACACAACTTTAAGAAAAAAAGCAACATACCTGCAAAGTCTATCTTGTAGCTGAATTTGGAAGTAGTAAAAGAAATGGAGCCACAAGGATTTGTTTTGAAGCTTTGTTCGATATCTTCACTGCTAACTGAACACTGAATGTTGGTATCCGGCTTTAAGACAAACCAGAAAGTTTCAATTACAGCTGTTCACCTTAATGGCTTGGCCACAGAGGTGGTACTGTGCTCACAGAGACAGAGAATGGTGAAACAAGGGACACTTAACTAGTCATCTGTTCTAGTCCCCTAAACACCGGGAAAATCACAGCTAAGCCAGCATGTTAAAAATAGTTTAAGGATTTCCAGCAAAGAAACTTAAAAAACTGGTTAAGCCTTATCCAAAATTATTACAATTTTCACAAATTATGACAATAATTGTACTTCCTAAGTGGCTCAAAAATTAAATCTTCTTTAAATGGCTTTGTAAGTTTAAAAAGACTACAAGCTTTAATCACTATCTTAACCATTAACTAGCTGTGTGATTCTGGACAAAATACATTAACTTTATGAGCTTCACTTTGCCTGTAAGACTGAGTGTTAACATCTGCTTCAGCGTTGTATGAGGATTAAGGAGAAAACCTATGTACAACACCTAACATAATACTTGGTGTACAGAAGGTGTTTAATATGGGCTGTTCTCTCCCCTTTCTCTTTGTCCACCAAATCAAACTTGGAGTTGCTCAGATGTACTGCTATCATGCAACTCTCAGTCACAATCGCCTTCTGTACACACGGCAAACACACACTGTTTCTTCTAAATAAATTATTGTGAAAACGTGGGGGAAGAAAAGGAAAAGAACTAGAAGAATTTCTAATTTTTCTTTCAGTTAAGCTATCTGATTTCCTTAGAGTTTGATTTCTTTCTGGTTTGCTTATACTCATCTTATCCATCGGCAAGATGACGCTAAGTGAATCTAAATCCATTCTGCTACATCCAAGGGAAGGAGATACCTGAAACATGTGCCACTTTCCACATTCTGCCAAGTAAAACCAGCCCCACTGGGTATCTGATGTGTCCATCTCGTCCATCTCACCACCTGTTGTTTTGGATAGGAATTCTTCGGCTTTGTGAAACATCTCCTGAAAAGGCAGAAAGCAGAGAAATAAATGTTTTTTCTACTAACCAATGTACTTTTTGCATGTCATTTTCTTCTTACAAATAACTATATTCCAAATGTCTTTCCCCCAGTGACACTTCAAAAGTAGCATTCTATGCTGTATATTAGCTCTGAAGATGAACATTTTAGTAAAAGGTTGAATATCACTGTCCATTCAACCATTCAACCATTTAAGTAAGCTGTATCAAATCTATAAGCATTCCAGAGTCGGCGTAGTGTCAAAAATTTTGTTTGATCATATGTTTATTCATGTGTTTGGTCAAAAGGATGCATGGTATCACAACTAATTAAGACCAAATACATCTGATTTTTGTTTTAAACATTTATTATTTCATTTAATGGCATGGGAAGATGCTTGTAATATAGTGTTCAGTACAAATAAGGTTACAATAAATAGAAATAGTATAATCCAATGGAACTCCATTTGACCCACTAATCCCACTTCTAGGACTATATCCCAAGAACTCAGAAACTCCAATCAGAAAGGATATATGCACCCCTATGTTCATAGCAGCACAATTTACAATAGCTAAGATTTGGAAAGAGCCTAAGTGCCCATGAGCAGATGAGTGGATTAGAAAACTGTGGTACATCTACATAATGGAATATTACGCTGCTGTAAAAAAGAAGGAATTCTTACCATTTGCAACAGCATGGATGGAACTGGAGAGCATTATGCTAAGCGAAATAAGCCAGTCAGAGAAAGATAAATATCACATGATCTCACTCATTTGTGGAATATAATGAACAACATAAACTGATGAACAGAAATAGAACCAGAGTCATAGAAGCATCAAACAGACTGTCCAACCTATTAGGGAAGGCAGGGGGTTAGGGGTAAGATATCAAACAAAGGACTTGTATGCATGCATATGAGCATAACCAATGGACACAGACAGTAGGGGGGTGAGGGCATGTGCTGGGGGGTGGGGGCGACCAGGTAGAGGTCAATGGGGGAAAAAAGGAGACTTATGTAATGCTCTAAACAATAAAGAATTTTTTTAAATAGTATAGTCCAATTTTAATAAAAAATACATCTATATTTACCCACATGAGTGTATACGTATGTGTATGTACATGTATGTATATGTACATGTACACATACATACAAAGTCTGGCCGGATATACAAAAACTTAGGTTAGTTTTTTCTGAGTGTTAGGATAATACTACTAATAATAATAAGCCTTATATGGCTCTTACTACTTGCCAAGCTCTAAGTACTGTACAGATAATAACTCCTTTAGGCCTCACAACAACCCTATAAGACAGGTACTATTATCCCAAATTTAGAAATGGGAAAACTGAGGCACAGGGAAGTCATACAAAGAGGAAGCCAGGTTTCAAACCCAAGCGGTCTGGACCCAGGTTCTTAACCACCATGACAAACTGCCTTATACTTAATCATCAATGATTTTATAATCTTAACTATATCAACTAACTCATGTACACATTACCTTTGAAACGTTTTCAACATTCTTGGGTGGAGATTGTGAAAAAGAGGAAGTCACCAGAAAAGGGGCAAATAAATTAGTCAAAAATGATAAAACTTTATCTGGAATGTTGCTTTCTGTCCTCATTTTTTAAAAGGATTTTTAAAATTACTAGTTTAAATTTATTCAACTTATATATGAAAACATGCTGCACCAAATAATCCTCAAGACTTTTCTGACCATCACTTCCATACTTCCATTCCTGGCACCTTCTCACCTTCCTTCTCCAGGGTTAACCAATGCTATCAACTTACTATTTACCTTTCAGCTCTCTCCCCAACCCCTCTCTCTCTCTGTCTCTCCCTCCTTCCATCCCTCCCTCCCTATGTATGTATGAGATCATATGCACACATAGAAACATATAATTATTTATTTTAAAATGTTTATTTCCTATATATTTAATTGTTTTACAAAGAATATGTACTACTTGAGTAATTTTGAAAATATTTGTTTTTAATATCATTATTTTAAATGTCCATCCTGTTTCCAGAAGCTGTGTGACCTAGGATGAGATTCCATTACGTTCTCTAGGCCACAGTTTCTTCTTCACAAAATGGAGATTAAAGGCTTCTTACTCATTGAGTTGTTGTTAGAAAGTAATGAGACAATGCCTTAAAGTACCAAGTACAGTAGCTGAACTCTATGAAGGGGGCTTGTTACTTTTTATTCATGTTTTTTAATCTCCAAGGAATGCTTTATACTTATTTTCTGGATTTTTCCTACATGTTTTAAGGTTGATTGGCTCCTAAGAAATGAAAAATAGCTGGTGTGGCTCAGTTGGTTGCACATCATCCGATGCACTGAGAGTTGCTGGTTCGACTCCTGGTTAGGGTACATGCCCGGTTTTTGGGCTCGATCCCAGGGATGGGGTGTGCAGGAGGCAGTCGATTGATGTTTCTTTCTCTCATCGGTGTTTTTCTCTTTCTCCCGTTTCCTTCCTCTCCCTCTAAAATCAATAATAAAAATAACATATTAAAAAAAGAAATAAAAAATAGAAGACCTTAGGATCAAGAGCTTCAGGTTTAGGAGCCACTATTTACCTTACATATTTTAACCAGATAATAAAGGCAATAATTTAAAATTTAGGATCAATTGTATAGGTTAACAATTCACAACTTCTGCTTCTTCTATTAACATTCACATCATTTGGCCATTTTACTGTGAGAAAGAAAGAAAGCGTGACCTGACTTCAGTTTTCCTTCTGAAAATAATAAAAAACAATTTGGAAGAATGAATTTGAAAGTAATAATTAAGACAAATCTCTGGCTTACAAGTTTTCTCTTTTCTCTACTAGAAAAGGAAATTTAACAAATATAGCATGTTACATGTATACAGCATATAGACAACATGTATGCTTTGCCTCATCACACTGCCCCTAAGATCACATGTTAAGCCAGGTTACAAGTGAAAGTGTTTTTAACAAAGTCCTTTCAGAACTTCCTGCCATCAATAGCTTTGGGTAGGACCTAAGACAGGCTCATATTTATCCCTGTTTTAGAGAGGGCAGCACTATAGACAGGTGCCCTTGCATTGAACATTCCTAAAGCACTTCAAATTTTTTAACATTCTTTATTGCTTTACACTAATTTTTCCCTCCATAACCCAATGTGCAGGAGAAGCCATTATTTTTCAGTTAAAGTTGGGAAAAACCTGAAGCAGAGGAAATACAATTATTTTGTCTAGAACCCTAGAGTTAGCAGTATAAAGAAGACCAAAGAAACACCCAAGGCCTCCTGAGCTGCCAACACTCACTGCCTCATTTCACATATGGTCAGTCGTTCCTTCTTTTTTTTGTTGCCAAAGCTTCATTTGATTGCTTTGCTTCACAGATGCTATGGCTTTCTTTCCATACTCATTTCATAAGACTAAATCTTACAGTTTTCTGTAACAAATTTTCCTTGCAAACAAATGGCTATCCTGCAAAAGTAGGCTCATAGAGTAAGTCACGTTTATATTAATAACTTTAAAATACTATAATCATAGTAATAATGGATCTAGGTTAGAACATATCTATAGGCAATATAAGGAAAGTTGTCTGTCATGGAGTAGGCAATTAATAAATGTCAGCTGAATGAATTAGTTTAGCCACAATGCCATACAGACTCTGCAGTATAACTGAACATTGTTTAGTTTTGTTTTTAAAAGTCTCTGGAAATTGTCCTAACAGCAAATAGCAAACAGAGAAACATTTATTCAAGAAAATCTACTAAATTTGAGAAGAGGCAAGAATTTGTGGCATTTGAGCCAACATCTGTTCTATTACCCCCACTCCACAAACTCTGTTACAGAAGCTCTACCTCTGGCATATGCAGCCAAGAAGGCAGGAACTCCATTTCCTCCCAGCTCCCAGTCTGGGGCTAGTTTCACCCAGGGAAGGACAGGCTGCTGGTGTTTCTCATCAGCTTCAGCAAGGAGGTACAGAGGTCTATTCTGGACAGGCACCCAGAGCCTGGGTTTCCATTCCTTCATCCATTCCCCACTCATTTGGTGGAAACTCTACTCCAGGCCCAGTAGGCAAAGAATACTGGACCTTGATTGCTACCACCCCAATTTGCTCATTATGCCAGGAGGAGTAGGTCAAGAAGACCAGGGGCTGCCACCACCCCTCCCACCAAGTGCCTGGGATGTCACCCTGGGAAAAGTGGGTCCCTAGCCCCAGCTCCAGGTACAGTGGCATGCGGGTTCTACTGCAAGGAAAAGGCATACCTTAAGGACAAAGAGCTCTACATCTCTACTTGAAGGGATTGTCTTTATTTGAAACAGGAAGTCGAAAACTTCATGCCTAAGAGCATTATTGAAAAAAATGGAATCTTGATAAAAACAATTTATCGGGGGCCTGAAGCTCTGATACAGGAATGGCAGAGAAGGCAGAAATCTAATATAGAGAACCAGGATAGCCAAGAGCTTCCTGGTATTATAGTGAACCATGGGACATTTCTATATGTCATGCCATAAAACAAGTTTTGCTAAATTTAAAAGGAATAAAATTATACAAAGTATGATTTCCTACCAAAATGGAATTATAAATCAATAACAAGAAAACAGGAAATTCACAAATATATGACATTAAGCAACACACTACTAAATAACCAATAGTCAAAAAGTAAACCACAAGGGAAATTTAAAAATATGTTGAGAACAATGAAAATTAAAACACAATTTATCGAAATTTATGGGATGCAGCTGGAACAGTGCTCAGAGAAAAACTTGCAGTTGTAAATGCCTATAATTAAAAAAGAAGAAAAATCAAAAACTAACATTCCACTTTAGAAAGAGAAGAGCAAACTAAACACAAAGCAAATAGAAAGGAAATAATAAAGGTTGGAGAAAAGAAAAAAAATGAAGTAGAGAATAGAAAAAAAATAGAGGAAATCAACAAAACCAAAAGTTGCTTTATTTGAAAAGAAAAAGAAAATTGTCAAACCTTTAAATAGCTGAAAAGGAAAAAAAAGAGAGAAAACTTGGGTTACT